TAACACTTTCACACTATTTAGTGAATATTTGTGTTAAAGGAGAAAGTCTGTAAAGTGCCTCAGAGCAAGGCAGCGAAATCTACCTGCTCACAACAGAATTTAATTTAAAAGGAGAAATCCACCTGAAGTGACCTTTTATTGTGAAAGTTTTTGATATAAAACGATGTATTCTTTGTATTATTTTCTCATCAGAACAGTTTGTGTCATTAAGCTTTAACATAAAGTGAAGATTTTCTGATTAAACTGTAAATGTTCTGACACATTAAAGTGGACTCTGTTCTCATAAGAGCCTTAAAGATCATTAAGAGATTCTGTTGATCAATCTTCAGACTGAAAACTGTCCTCTGCATACAAACTAAACACAGTTACACAGATTAATGAAAGATCTCTGAAATGAATCTCTGTTTATAGGCAGATATGGGCGATACATTAAGCCCATAAAACCACAATCAACATTTAGAGTTGATTTATTAATGGAATAATTTGTTTTAAATATGTTTTTGTCCTCTCCTATGTACAGTTTGAACCTTAGTGATCCACTGATCCAAAACCTGATAGTCAGAACTTTTAATTGATTTATATACCGATCATTAATTAATATAATTTTCTTTTTATCTTACAAGCAAATATTCATTATTATATTTTCAGAAGCTGATAGTATTGGTGGTAACAACCAGAAATTAGACTTTACACATAAAATATGAACTTCCAAATTAACTGCAACACTCCATCGTTCCACTGGAGCTGTGAGCAGAAAACGAGAAATATCTAATTAAATGTGTTAATCTGCACTTCTGTGCTTATAAAATTAATAGCTGTAGAGACTACTTTGTGTTCAGTAATAATGTAATAAAGTCCAGTGGAGGAGGTCAGACAGTGTGACAGTGGAGCTGATCTCAGAGCAGTTCAGACTGGGCAGGCACGAGAGTCAATCTTCACTGTTGGGATTCGTCTGTCAGTCACTGCTGGATGAAGCTCTCCTCTCCACTCTACGCTCCAGTAACATGGCCCAGTCAGAGCTGATGCTGGCTGCTTCAACCCTCTCTGATCACAGGACACAGCGGAATCCTCCAAACACAACACTTCAGGAGGGGGTCATGATTGGCTGCTGCAGGTCTGGAAGTTATCAGACGAGAAGCCGAGGGAAGGCAGATTCCCCTTGATGAGGTTTTGTCACCAGCACGTTTGACTGAAGACCTTCTGTGTGACGTCAGATCCCAACCTCCAAAATTGTTTTTTGAAATTCCAGTGAAAGTCTGCTTTCATCCAGGGCCGTCCAAGATGAACAAAAGTTTAGACAGACAGCGAGCTGCTCTGCTGTGACTTCTGTAATTTGGACTGGAAAACATGGAGCAGCCTGAGAAGACTTGTACTGCTCATCTTTGATCAGGTTCAGCTCCTCTGAATGAAACAGAACCACCAGACTGACATCTTGGTTTTTCCCAAAACCTCTGCCAGATCAGAGATAGAACTTCTGGCACTGAGAGTTTTTCCACGCCAAGCTGACGCGTTCGTGCAGAACCACTCTGATGTGTCTGCTGTTTGTGCAGGTAAGGGATTTAAAGATGTTCGTGGCACCCTGATTGGTAGTCTCATGGAGGGTCCTCCATCTTGGAAGCTGTCTCCAAAGCTGTCCACCTCATGTTGGGTATTAATCTTTACTCCACCAGTCTCCTGTGATGTAGGCTCAGTTGTAGATCCTGTTGATGGGAGGGTTACACTTCTGGTTTTCAATCAGTTTCCTTCAGTCAGGCACATTCACATCTCCCCTTTCAGACTGATCCTATGTTCTTCTAAAACCACCCTGTAAGCCACCATCCTGCTGAAAGAGAGAAAATGTGAGAGCTAAGATAAGATTTGGAGAATCTGGTGAATATTGTCAATGACAATATATAATAACTAGCAAACGTAAAGGTTTTAAAGTCCATCTGAAAAGTGTTGTAAATTCTGTAGTTTACAAGCTGAAGGGGTTATGGTTAGACCTGTTAGCTAGGACTGGCCAATGTTGAATATTAGAAGGTTTTTAAGATGAGTCTGACGGGGGTGAGCCTGATTAGTAGTGTCAACGCAATATGGATTTTTCAACTGGCTGATGCCGATATTTTTGAGATCAGGGCTGGCTGGCCGATATATAATTGCAGATATCAACACAAACAAGACCTCCATTATTCATTAGCAGTGTGGTGGTGCTTTCTTGCTGGGCTTAGCTGTCAGCACCTCCCAACGGGTGCCTGTGGTGGACTGTGCATGGAAGGGGTCATCCTTCTTTCCCCTGAGGCAGGTCTAAACTGACGCGATACCGCACGGTTTTTGCTGGCAGGGTCTTCAGCTGGGGACCACCGCTCATTGTACGTTTTCGCCCCTTAACCCAGAAATCTCCCTGGTGGTTGGGCAGTGACCAAGGGACGTCTCACTGACACCCCCTGCAGCAAAACTAATTGGATGTTACTCCCCAAGGCTTGTCTCGTCGTTATCAGCAGAGCCAGTGGCTTGCTTCTCCCCTTCCTCAGAGAGCTGCTTTGGTGGATTCTGGCCTCAGTGTGGCTCCACATAGGTCCCAAGGTCCTTCCAGGCAGGCGTGATGTCGATCCGGCCCCCACAAC